ATACAATCGAATAACTCTCTCTAATAATAAGTATATCTTTCAACTGTTGTTGTTTATTACAATTTTTTGCATATATTCTAACACAATGTTTAGTTCCAGATCAGATTTTCATAAACAAACTACTTATTATGTTTATATAGACTACTACTAATTTATGTATTTTATCGACGATTATATTTTTAATAGAGTAAAAAGTGTTTTTAGTGATCTGAGATCTAACTCCAATTTAATCGTTTCTGATTGCTATTGAGATGTGCATGTTGCCAATCCTCGTATAGAATTATCGACTTAGTCCGGTTTAATGTATAACAGAATTAAATAAGTCAAATACGAGAATGGATGTTTGAATACATATATTTTGAACACTTATTGATCTGGACAGACGCTAAGAATTAACGAAGCGAAATGACGCGCAGTGGAGAAAAGACGTATTAGCCAACTCCATTTAATCAAGCGTTAATCAAAATTTATAGTCACACAAAAATAAGCTACAGACGTGTGATGAGTAGGATAAGTTTTACACACAAATGTGCACATATAAACATAATCAAGGTTGATAAGTGAATAATTACCAAGCTCAAAACGTGACTGTAGAAGAATGAATAAAATGGCCTGTCCAAAAGCTAGAATACGTTATGTGAGCTTAACATGGTGACTAACACTACATGTCAAAGAAATCTTCATGTAGATTTCTATTTTGAACACTGAACAAATAAAGGAATAATTATTTAATTTGGAATTGTTTAGAATTTAAATAACTTCCTGTTATCATTTCACGTGATATAGGGTTTATACTTTAGTTTGATAAAACTTGGGATTTCATAAAGATCAGTATGAAAAGTAAAGATACTAGAGTTGCTAATAGGGTGTATTATGTTGTTATTATTATAAATAACTACTAATCCTACATAAACCAATCAAATAGGTTAGAAGCACTGCATTTTTTTCAAGTGGATTAAGAAAACCACTCCGACACCATCAAATTTATATACAATGAAAGTTTTCATACATTAACCACCGTACATGTTTTTCTCATTCCAATGATTGATTATAGGTTTGTGTGCATAACTTACTAACTATAGGGTAAATATTATTATCGAATTGTACTAATCAATATAAAATGAAAGCAGAACTTGTGACTTGTTAAAAGAAACTACTTAATTAAGTTTCTTTTATAAATGAAATATAAAAAACGACAAATTATTCACATCATTTTCAGGAAATGTTTACTTATTATATCCATACTACCTGTTAATAAACTCTTAATAATGAAAACAGTTTTTTGCTCGTTATTGATCGTTATTTCTTCATTTAATTCAAAATATTGAAAAGACTTAATATAGAAGTGCTTGGATCTGAATATGGAATTAACGATGATTTGCAGAAATCTAATTAGAGAAAATTCCCAGTTATTTAGTGGTTATATCCTTTCTTCTTTAATTAAATATTATCAGTTTGACGTATTTCCTTGCTTACATCTAACTCGCCTACTAACTTATATTAAAACTAATCCTAGAAACTGAAACCAGCTAGATAAGCATCAAAAACAAGAAGACGCTGAACGAATGTTTCACTTTAATTTCAGATACTCTAGCAGTGATAAAAACAAACGTCAAATTAAACAACCTCTATAAATCATCTTATCTGGATAATAACCAAGCTTTGAGGGCAATTCCTGAATTCTTGATAAAAAGTCATAATTGATAAGATACAATCATCATAGTTTACGCCGATAATTTTAATGGTCAATATTAGAAAATGTCTAAATTTAAAAATATAAATGGATACTATCCCCAACACCTGAATTTTTTAAGCTTAATCTCTATTAAGGAAATGTTAATGCACTACTCATATTTTCTAGTTAGTGAAAATATATTACAAACTAGGCAATTTTTTATAAACATTATTTATTTATATCCATCCATTCGTACATTTATTATATGGTTCACAATTTACAAGTTGACTGTATTGAGATAATATGCTATGATTTTACATTTAATGCATTCACACTGTATATATTCAAATATTGAAGATCTTAGATTGATATTTAAGCAATTAATCTGAAAATGAAAATTATTCAACTTGAGACAACAGTTTCTGAAATTTATTCTATTTTCCTAGTATAAATTGAAAGAGAATTTAAAAATTTTATCATTACATTAATAAATTATTATAAAAAGTGTTGAATCATTCGATTTATTTATTGTAATGATATAAAGTTTACTGTTCTATTGATGATACCTTTCAAGTTATCAGTTTTAAGGTAATTTACATTGAATTTGATGAAAGAATGCTTAAAATGCCATCAGTAGGCTTCCCAAGACATGAAATAAACAATTATGGAACCATTAAAATGACATGGACAGCTGACAGATGCATTCCAAGTAAGGACCGGACTAAGACAAGGCTGTCTACTCTCTCCCTTCCTTTTTCTTCTGGTGGTCAACTGGATTACGAAGACCTCGAGATCTGAGGGAAAACACGTGATACAATGGACAGCTCAGAACCAATTAGACGATTTGGACTTGACAGATGACCTACCCCTCCTATCTCATACACAAGAACAAATGCAGATAAAGACAACCAGAGTAGCAGCAGTCTCTGCATCAGTAGGCCTCAACATACACAAAAGGAAAACCAAGGTCCTCAAATACAACACGGAGAACAGCAATCCAATCAATCTTAATGGCGAAACTCTGAGAGATGTAGAATCCTTCACATAGCTGGGAAGAATCATCGATGAACAAAGAGGTTCAGATGCAGACCTAAAAGAGAGGATTGGCAAAGCAAGGGCCGCATTCTTTCAATTCAAGAACATACGGAACTCAAAACAACTATCTACCAGCCAATATCAAAGTCAGAATCTTCAATACGAACGTCAAGGCAGTTCTACTGTACGGAGCTGAAACGTGGAGAACTACCACAATCATCATCAAGAAGGTACAAGTATCTATCAATAGCTGTCCACGCAAGATACTCAACATCCATTGGCCGGATACCATCAGGAATAGCCTACTGTGAGAGAGAACAAACCAACTTCCAGCTAAAGAGGAAATTACAAAAAGACGATGGAAATGGTTAGGAAATACATTGAGGAAATCATCAAACTGCATCACGAGACAAGCGCTAACTTGGAATCCTGAAGGGAAGCGGAAAAGTGGGATGCCAAAGAACACATTACGTCGAGAAATGAAAGATATGAAAAGGATGAATAACAATTGGAAAGAGCTGGAAAGGACTGCTCAGGACAGGGTTGGATGAAGAATGCTGGTGAGCGGCCTATCCATCTTCACGAGGAATAACAGGCGTAAGTACGTAAGTAATTGAAATGTCATGGAAATTTCTTTTCAGTCCCATTTACTGTCAAGTAAATTGTCAGTAAGTCTCAAATATCCTAATGTTTAAGGAATATATTTTTGACTCTCTTCATTATCATAATCGTCAACATAAGTCTAAAACCAAATTCAATAACCAAGGTTGAATTCATGAAATATTATGGCTACTTCTATTGGTTATTTTTTAAGATTTTTCAAGCATTTACATAGTCGATTATGGTCGATTACCGTTAGAACCAACTCCAAAAACACTGAAACTGACATAAGTACATCAAGTGAAACAATATTAAGCAATAATTTAAAACAGTGACAACGTTTATTAGTCAATACTGTTTTTGAAACTTGGAAACAAACTAGTGGCATGTTTACAGAATAAAAATGTGTCTTACTTTCTATTTGTCAGAGATTTAAACAAAAAGAAAACCACGAAAACCTTTGAAAGTTTTTATCAACAGAACATTTATTCTCATCATTATTCAAATAACCTACTTGACCGAAAAGGAGAAATTGCTACTTGTGCTAATACAAGTCATTAAAATTCCTCTGTTTTCCTAATGAATAAGGTTGCCTTAATTGTCTTTCTTAGACATAAAAATAAGTTACATTTTAAATTATATGGTTCATTATATCTATAACTCACATTTATAGATAAAGACGATGAAGAATTTTCTCTATAGGCTACTAATATTTTTAACATCAAATAACTTCTAGAGGTTAACTCACTAAGTAATGAAGTTATGAAACTTGATATTCGTTTGTCAAATGCATAATTAGTTGATAATGAGTACACATCTTGGAAAGCAGCACAATCTAGTCAAGAAAGCTTCTAAAGATTCAACCATCAAAAATTACGTTTAATCAGTAGCATTATAGCAAATGAATCTTTATGACTGGTTGACTCAGGTTGCTACTTTTAAGATATAAAGTAGTATAAGTTAGTTTATGAAATTCAACCATCACAAATGGCTAATATTGATAACAATGCTGTTCAGGATATTGCAAATTTCCCTAAATATAGTTTGCCTACAGATCCACTAGTATGAGATCTAACATTATATATTCTTTTAATGCTATTATATGACCAACGACCTAGTAGCTTGGACTTATAACCTAAATTTGGACAGAAGTAACTCCTAAGAAAGCTACCCGGAAATTCTTAGCTAGGTTATAATATCAAAAATCTCCAAGTAGTCAAACTTAACGACTTTTATTTTGTCACTTTTCGCCCTGCCAGTTAAATGACAGTAAAACTTATAATACTGAATTAATTAACTGGTAGCTCTACAAAGTTTCTGTTCTCGCAAGACACATCGAGTTTATCGAAGCCGATAGGTTAACTGCTACCTAAATGCAAATAATTAACTGTAGGTTACTTACGATGAAATCTAGTAAAATTTTTCGGAGTCTGTAGAACCCAATACGTTAGGTAAATAAGCTAACATAATTAAGGACTTATTTGATATTTTATTGTGGATTTTAGCTGGATGTAAGAATGTTTTACAAACTAAGAAACCCAAGAATAGTTATTCTCACGTATCCCCATAAAGCCAGTATTTTATGCTGGCAAACAATAAACTCCCCAACTCTAATGACAAAAATAAAGTGTTTAATACAATTACGTGAATTTTTATCCAAGCGATCAAGACACGTAGTATAGATTGAAGTGAATTCATTTTATTTTAAAATCGTTTGGAATTTACAAAACAAACTCATCTTTAAAAAACGTTTATTTTGACACAGTATTCTATATTACATCATGAAAATTCCCCGCATCCAAAAACATGATAAAAAATTATTACGTTCCTTTTTAAAGGATCCACAACTGCATAAGCGAACGTATTCAAATGTTCTCTACTTGAGGGAAACACCATGTTATTTTGTTCATCCTTTAAAGAGATGCAAATAACATGTGGGAACAAGCAAAATGTTAGTAAAAAACAGGAATAAAGCTATTAAAAAAGGTACTAGTTTCATACATATCAGTGATAAATATATGTACTTAAGTATACAGTTAATCAAGTTAATAAGTTTCTGATCGATTAATCATGATTTCAGACTAAATTCAGATATATAGCCTACAGTATATCATCTTTTTTGAGCTTCGAAAATATTTGGGATTGAACAAAAAATTGTCAAATATTTCGTGAACTAATCGGATTATTTTTCGTCACATAGATTGTGTTTAGCAAAGATAATATTTTGTTCTCAAAAACGTTGAACCTTAAACAACCGTATTTATTTCAAATAATAACTAGACAGTAAACATATCAAACAGGACTTGACGAAAAAATAAGATATTCAAGCAAAATAGTAAATTAAAGCTAAACATACAAACTAAACAAGCAATACTGATAGATATAAAGCCGAAAAGCACCAACAGGTATTTGTGGATCTACATTACCATCTTTTCCGTTCCTAACTACCAAAGGAGGGTCAAATGCTCGATTTATTGCATAGCACAAAATATTTTCCCTAAACACCCAGAATATTTAAACATGGATTCAACGAAAATCATTGCAATTTACTCCTCAGGTGGTTATAAATTTAAAATGCTTACAAATAGAAAGAGTGGTACAAATTCCCTTCCTGTATGTTTTGCGTTACAGGCACTCTTGATTGTGTATAGAGGCTTCTAGTGACTAGGTTCTTCATATAAAACTTCTCTCATTGTTTTACAAAATCATAGAAAAGTATGTTATCATGCTCAATCCGTAAATTTAAAAATAGTGATAAAACGGTTTTCTTCAGTTTCTGAAATTTGTACAATTTTTGTCATGCTATTTCAGAGCATTTGTACACTCAGAAAAATAATAGCTACTTACAAACTACGAATAATCACAAAATTGTTACTTAACTGTAACCATATCAGTGTACCGTTGGCGCTCAGTCCTAACTTATCGTATGAATTTGAAACAGTGAGCTTAAACTAAAAACAGGGTCTGTAATGAAATTTTGTATGATATTGAAGATGCCACAGGTATTTGTAATCTGACAGCACTTTAACCAGTAAAACCTTCTATAATTGAACAGTGCCCACCTAGTAAAGTCAAACGTCAGAAGCAAAAAGACCCGAAAATATATTTGAAAGGTTATCAATATATCAGGCAGTGACTGATTTAAACTGGCTAGTGGTCGTAGAAGAAGTTGAGTACGGCGTTCCCACTCGTGATCTGGTGCGGATTCGTGACAGAGCGCTTTCAGCTAGGTGAGTCCATTAAAACTAATGTGGTCAGCACCAAATGTCGAAAACTTACAGAGCCACTGGTTTATTTGCCGCTACAATATTTAAGTCCTAAAGTAACTATAAAGAACTAACACAAAAGAGTTTGGTAGGTTAAAATGATATGTTGAAAACGGCATGCGAGTCATCTACAAAGTATATATGATGAGTTTATCATATAATTTTAGGTTGAATGGCTACTTCATCAGTTTGTTACGCGCAAAGTCTATAAGATCAAGACTTACAAGTTTAAAACTGAGAGATAGTTGTAATCAATTATTATAAAGGTCGGGTGATGTGCAGAAAAATAAACCAGTGTGGTACAGTTGTATTGAAGACCTAATATTTTTTCTAAACTCTTAGGTTAATTAGAACTTTAACTGTTCATTCTTAGGCCTTGTTATTTTCTCTTAAATCAGATCCTTAATGTTACAATGTTTGTTGTAGTTAGAAGCGAAACCATTTTCAACTCATTTTATAAAATGTCTGTGTTGATATGCAATTTGACTGTCTGAAAAAAAATTATATTCGTCTCACGTCCTACATTGATGATTATTGGCTGACAGACTATATACGCACATTTGATCGTAATGGTTTTAAGTGAGGTTGGAGGATTTATTGCATATCAAAATTATCGCGAAGACAAAAGCTCGCATTTGTAAACACCGTGTGTTCGTTCTCTTAATATATGATACCGTGAGTAGTGAAACGTTACACAATAACTTGTAAATTTCATAGATACAAAAGTCTGGGTAACGGCAAACTTAATTTTAAACAACACCATCTTGATGTGCTCAAATAAAAATTACCCAAGAATACAGTATTACTCACACATAAATTTATGGAAATACAGACACGAAGAGGACAAAAACTTACATAAATATATTGAAGCCGTTTTACACTGACTTTGTTTAAAGTCATGTTGTTGATCATGTAAAAGGGACCTTATCAACATGCTATAACAATGAATTAAGCGCTCAAAAGTATATTTTTAAAACTTAGGCTTGGTAATTAACTTACATACACACGAACTTCATAAACATGAGAAACAATTTCGATTGCTTTTGAATCAGGATTCTTCTGAACACTGAAACCGTAGTATTACAATAGTATAGCAATATATACCATATTATATCACGATAGATTTTGCGTGCAGTATCAATGTATGGCTTAATCTCATCTTCTTGTTGACAGATTTCACCTCCAATACAAATGTGTTTAAACAAGCGAACGAGAAACTCTTCTCTCTCTTTTTCAGTAAGGATAGAATAGCTGTCTGAATCTTCAAGTAACAAACACTGTAGGCTGATAAAAACGAGTGGTACTTGCCTCTCTCAATTTATCGGAAATAATGATTGTTTCGAAAACATCGTCCATACGTGTTTTAATTCTTCCGCACTCATGTGTCACACTGGAAAGTTTGCGAAAGACGTCCAAGTTGGTGAGAGTACATCTGACGCTCTTAATTTTAACAACACTAGACAAAGTATTAGTGTATTTATCATGAAGAATTGACGGGTCATATGAAACTACTTACGTTTTTGTGTAGGGAATAGTGAGAGCATTTTGCACGGAAGGCGAATTGAAAAACCTCTAAGTAAGATTACTTTGAAAGTAACTTATCTTGAACGTACTGTGAAAAATGAATCTGCTTTATATGGTACAAAAATATGGTCAAAAGTGAATGTAACGACGTTCAACCTGCCCTTCATAGACCTAAAATAAACAACGTTTATCAATTTGATAATTTACCATTTGATAAAGTAGTCATTTATTTGCTTGTCGGACAAAAATGGATATTCCCTATCAAGTATAATAAGGAAATCATTCGCTTGCTCCATTGACAACAATTTCTTATATTTCTGCCGAGTAAACAATATAGTTGTTTACTAGTTTAAACAAATTACTCACGTAACAGTGGACTGAATGGAAAGAACCTTTGCTCAAAGAACTTCCATTTATAATTGCAATTGATAATCAGAGATCTCAAATAAATGGTTAGGTGCGTGAGACAAGGAAAACATATAAGGCCTTATTATTAAATTAGTATGATATACTGTTTTCAGTCTTTAAGAATTTACCACGTTTCCTCTCCAAGGACTACAGTGAGGTTACTCGAATCACTTAAGACGTTCATAAATATAAAATTCTGACTGCCAGTAAGAAGTAGAATACCAGTGTACATTCCATTTTCCTGCGTTGTACCTCTAATTTCCATGTACTTCCACAAGGCTCGAGGTGATAATATATGAAGATATGTACTCTCAAGGACACATGGGGGTGTAAGGGATAGTACGGACAATCCAAAGATTATTTCAGACTCGCCAGTATTCTAAACCATAAAGATATGTCGATTCAAGGCACTCCTCATAAGGCTTCAATGCGAGTTCAAAAATGATCTCGAAGCCACTTGTAAGACATACTCAATTATATGCTCATTCACTAGTGGTGAAAAAAAACATTCCGTTACTGTAATCTTTATGTGATAAAAGCTGTCGAAAATAAACTGAAATATTTTATCATCTTATTAATAACGCTCTTCAAAGTTTTAGCGCAAGGTTGAAGGTAAAGACATTTCTATCAGAATCGGCATCACAGATTATCAAGACTCCTAGGAATTTTCAGATTATTGGCAAATCCACAAAAGAAGTAATAGGGTTGTATGTTTAGTTAGCAATATGCCTTAGATGGACTAATTCACTCTTTCAAGCGTTGAGAGCGAAATCAATGTTGTCTATTTGAATTCGAAGTTGAGCCACACTCTTGCAAAGTTTCAGATCACATTTTAGAATCCAGACTACACTGTGTGATTAAAAACCTTCGACAAACGTTATTAATTTAGATGCTTGCTGAAAACGATCATTTAAATAAATTAAGAAGAAAAGTCTCAACATAGTATCCTATAGAACCCCATCATAACATTTTACCATGTAGGAACCCAATCAACCAATAAAGGGGAAATAAAGGGGAAAAAGGGGAAATTAAGGGGACGAAAGCGTAAATAAAGGGGAAATGTCGCTTTTTCACCTTTACGGCGTGTATTTAGGGGATATTTGTAGACAAAAATACGCTACGTATAGTTGTTGAATATGCCGCCTCCAGTTTTTATGTTTTCATAAACGTCCACAAAATAACTAACGGATTATTAAAGAAACATCACTATTGTCATAAAAACAATTAACAAAATACGAACGCAGTGATTAGGCTGACATTCATATTCACTGACTTTAATTTTTGTTTAGCTAAAGTGTTCGGACATGCTTGGTATCCAACACAAATAACTAGCGCGATGCAAGTAAGTGACGTGCTCTCCGTTTTTCATGTTCATTACAATTGACTACCTTGTTAGTCCAATAACATAAGTTCCATTGAAGTTGCAGATAGAGCTCGTAGACGAAGGGCAACTATTAACCTGTCAAGCGTTCCTGGTTGTCATAGATCAACTTATAACAGACGATGGAATAAAATACGAACAGCTTTCATGAAAAAACATAACTTGCTTTCATTTAGTGAGTCTGCTAGTGAAAGCACAATCACAAGTAACTGACTTTCTATGTAGTGCACGTTTAATTGACAGCAGTGGAGAGAGAAAATACTCGTAATGAGACTCCTTCAAATGTGACACCATCAACTAGCTACAGTAATCAAAGGCTTCCAGATAATAATGGTATGTATATAAAGTGAATACGCGAATCCCTTTTTTCTTGGATATAATGACGTTATTTTATGCTCTCAAAAGTCCGTTAATCGCAAAGACCAGATCAACAACGTATTGATGACATTAATTACAAACACCTCTCTCAGCATCACTGATGCTGATCGAATTCTGAATGACTTAAGAGACCTAGTTCCGGACTTACCAAGGAGCATCAGAAGTATTCTAAGGACATGTACAAGTGTCCAACCACAGTTCATCAGCAGTGGGGATTACTATCACCTCGGATTGAAAACCAATCTGTTATGTTGAAATTTGGTTGTGTACTTTTGAAATCGATACTTTGCGTTTTCATATTAATGTAGATGGACTATCTATGTCTAGGAGCTCTAATCAACAATTATGGCCAATATTAGGACAGATCATTGCCCCAAGGTGTAGTGACGTGTTCATGATAGGGATCTACGGAGGGAATAGTAAACCAGCAGAGTTCAACGAATTATCTGCTGACACAATTTCTGAAATAAAAGAAATGACTGACGTGGGTCTGTTTAGTACTAAGTTTAATAAATACATAACTGTTAAGTTGTCCCGTGTAATATGTGACGCACCTGCTTGTTCTGTAATTAGGTACACAGTTAATCACAATGGTAAGGCAGGTCGTGATCGGTGTACTGTACTTGGTAGACGGCTTGAGGGAAGAATGACATTTCTAAATGGTGAATATACTTTAAGAACGGATGACAGCTTTCGTCGTCAGACTCAATCTATTCACCATCAAGGCCATTCACTTATGGAAACGCTTTCTATTAATGTGATCTATTTTTATTTTATTTTTATTTATTTATGGCTTTATTCAATATTATATTTTGGTACAATATAGAATTCTCAGCACAAAAATATTTCAACAAGTTTCTTTTACAGAACAAAAGAAAAAAAACGGTTCAAAGAAAAATCTGAAAAAAAAACTGTACAACTTTTCAATTAGAGTCATGTTAAGAATGCAGATTATTGACTAGGTTAACTCTAACAACCTGTTCGTCACAGAGTACATTTGCTAGGTAAGGTACTATAGAACGTTTATACTTTTGCTTGCGTGCTTGGATTTTAATGTAATTTCGTCTCGTTCTACCAGAAGATATACAAGGAGAAAGATATGAGTGAAGGGGATGGTTAGTATCTGATAAAATAACATCTGCCAGGAGTTTGCATGACTTTAGATGTCTATCCACAATCATATTAATTATGGTCTCGAAAGATTCACCACATAACTTGCTAACTGCCTTCAGCGCTCTCCGCAGTACAGCAAAGTCTTTTCTCAAAAGCCCGGGAAATAATAACGGAGAACAGTACAGAATAATAGGTAATATGCAAGAATTGACAAAGGCATGCAACCTCTTAATGTAGTATGTCAGACGGAAAACCTTCTTCGATAACAATAAAACGTGAGAAGACCAAGAGAGATCAGAGGAAAAGGTAACACCAAGATAATTGACCGTCGACACTGTGTTTATCAAAGAGTCGCCAATGGCACAAGCATTATGAGATCTCAAAAAGGTGTTTAAATGCCGATCATGTCTCATGCTAAAGTTAACAGCTTGACATTTAGACGGATTATGTAGGAGACCATTAACGACAGACCAACTATCAATGCGAGATAAATACTCGTTCATTTCTATAGGATGTAAAGAGGAAGAGATAGGCATACAAACAGTGAGATCGTCTGCATATTTCACGAAAGTGTTTACTGTGGAAGATGGCAGATCATGCAGAAAAAAAGAGAAAAGAAGAGGTGAAAGAACAGCTCCTTGTGGTACACCTTCATAAGACACTAGAGACTCTGAACACTTTCCTCCAAACACCGTGTACTGTTCCCTTCCAGAGAGGTAGGAACATAGCCAGTCGGTTATCCAGCTGTCAGTGTTGACGCTGATTAACTTGTTAAGTAAACGTTGCCTTGATATAGAATCAAAAGCAGAAGTATAGTCCAGGAAAGCGCATCGAACATACTTCTTACCCTTTTCTAGGTTGAACACTATATTATGATGCAGAACAGCAACAGCATCGAGGGTGCTTCTTTTGCATCTGTAAGCAAACTGATACTGGTCAATGTGCTCTTTCATCGCAGGCTGAAGTGAAATTGTCAATAATTTTTCCATTGCTTTGAGGAAGGGTGAAGTTATTGCAATGGGTCTGAATTTCACATTCTTATCACTGGATGATTTCTTGGGTATAGGGATTATTTTCATCTTTCTCCACATTTTCGGTATGAGATTAGAAGAGAAGGATCTATTAAAGATAGTGGTGAATGGATAGCATAGGACGTCAGCACACTTTTTGAAAAGGAGGTTTGGGATACCATCAGGTCCCAAACATCGGGATGAATTTAGTGACTGGAGACATTGTCGGACATCAGTTTCGGTGAAACTAGGAACACAGCTATTTTTTAAACCCGTGAATAAAGGGAGTATCACATCAGATGATTGACGTAAGAAAGACTTATTTAAATCACAAACATCCAGCTGGTTATCGGTCCTAATCTGTCTGTCACCTGTAAGTTCTTTAAAGAGTTTCCACATACTTGAAGAGTTTTTACAAGACAAGAGTTTTTGAGCAAACATAGTGTTGAGACGACTAATCTCGAGGTTTATCAGACCATTTAGCTTACGAACTTCACTATAGTTTTTCTTTTTGTACATTCTTTCTTTCACCCTCCGTAGTCGTTTTAGTTGTGAAGATGTAAGTCGATCAAAACTTACAAAAATAGTTTCAGTGGGACAACAAATATCAAAACAGAATTCAAGGTAGCAAGTGATAACATCAGTAGTGATTTCTAGTGAGTCATCTGTAAATAATTCCCAGTTGGTCGTATGAAACATGTCTTTCAGGTTTCGGATATTTACTACTGAGTAATTCCTATATTTGACATTCTTGCTTTGATTTAAGAGTGTACTCTTCCCATGCTTTCCATATACTTTAGGTAGAACACGAATTATACAGTGATCCGAGCTAGACAATGGAGCACGTTTACGAGTCACATATATACCTACATCATTAATGAAAACGAAGTCAAAATGAGCATCCAACCGAGTAGGAAAATCTACTACATTTTGGTGACCTAGCGATGTAAGGAAGCTACAGTCACATGAATTGAAATCACCACATACAACTGAAAGTGAATCACTGAAGGCAGTAACAGCGAACTCAGTGGA